GTAAAACAAATCTTTTAAAACTAGCCCTTATCTACTATTAGTTTCCCCATATATTCCCATTCCCACAAAAAGCTCATAGTCTTTTTCCTTTGTCTTGTCACTTCTCTAAAAATGTGTTGTTCTTTTGTTAAGATGCTATGTCAGCCAAAGTTCTAACCACCCCTTTTGAGTTACTCATTACTAAATACTCCCATGTGTACATGTGATGCATGTGTTAATAAACTCCTGTTTGTTTTTCTCTTGTTAAGGTCTTTTCTTAGTCTAATTTATGGAGCTACAGCCTCAGAACCTAGAACCTTTTCTCCCCTTGCACTGGCATACGTCACCCAACTGTTTTAGTAGGGGTTTGTAACATAAAACTCCAAATAGAATGGAAGAAGTTCTAAAAATATTTAATTTTACCCCTTCCTTTTATAGATGACAAAAGTTCAAAGCTTTGACTACTATTATGTTAAATTGACTAAGACAAACTGCTGGGGAGAGAAAGAGTGGGCCCAGGATACTGAGTCTTTTCTATAAGAAGGAGCCATGTTTGGAGACCATTTGCTTTAAAAAGGATGAAAGTCATGTAGGTCTAGGTCTAACTATTTAACAAGGGTTTGGGTTCTTGGTTTTAAAAAAATGAGCATGTACCACTCTCTGTATCACTCATCCACTTTGGAAATTAGTCCTAAAGTTTGCCAGTGAGAAAACATCCCAAATGAGAAGATCAGGAAGGAGGCTGTGCCTACTGCATAACAGAGGTGGAACTGGGATGCAGTTTACTCTTGGATGCCTGAGTGGTAACAAGACCTGTACATTAGCAAATGTACATAGTCAGGGACAATTTTACGCCCTCTTGAGCAACTTCACTGCTGAGAAGGTGACCATGCTCCTCATTCCTCAGACAAGCACAGATAGCTTTCTCTCTCCTAGCTGCTTCCACTGAGCACTCCCTCCCTCTGTTATTTATTAAAATGTGCAATACACCAAGAAAGGGAAAGATTATCCTGCTTCCTGCCGTGCAAGACGGTGTGCGGATGGCCAAGGTTAAATGCAGCATTTGGTTTCTTAAGCTTCTTTAATGGGTAAGTGGAAAAGCAATCTGGGACCAGACCTTGCAGCAGTGACTCTCTGAGGATTAAAACTTGACTTTAATTTGGACTCCATGGCTAAGATTAAATCTGTTTCTGCTATCATTATCCCACTTATGTCTGTCCCCACTCTGTTTCCACTCTGCCACCCAGCTGAGTGGGAAGAAATTAACCTGACCTTGAAGAAAACTCACAGAATCGTTAAGACCTCGGGTTTTCAATAGCCAATAAAATTCTAGAGGCCTGGTAACATTTAGATCATAGATTCATAGGTCTGAAAAGGAGTTTAAAACTCATATAGCCCACACATTTAACAGATGAGGAAAACAAAGTCCAGAGAACCAAGGTGACTTGTCCAAACTTGTTAGCTAGTTGGAAGCAGGTCAGAACTAGAATGAGGCCTCAAGCCCTCAAGCTCCCCATTCCCATGGTACCATGACTAGGCTCCAACCATGTCCACTTCATCTCCAGATCACTCAGGAAGGAACACGCACACATCAGGGCTTTTACACAACGTTTGGAATTTTCCTTGTGCAAACGAAAACACCCAAGGAACAGTCTGAAGAAGAGCCATCTCAAACGTCATAGAAAGGAGATATTTATTTCACCATTCTTATGCTTATGTGGTCTTTATCCAGATCAAAATTATATATTGAAATTAAAAATTTCCATGTTTTTTTTCTACCCAGGAAGGATTAGGCCATATTTCTCCCCCAAAAGTTAGTTCCTTCCATTTATGTTTCTGATCTGTGTCTAACCAACACACTCAAGTTTCAAATTCTGGCACAGCCTACAGTTGATAAACTACAGCAAAAAATAGGAGTATGGATTTATAACCATCCTGGAACCAAAGGTTCAATTCAGCTCACAGATGCATTTTGTTTGTCTCATACTGTTCTCAAAATTTGACTTTGAGTTTTATAGCCAAGTTATGCTTACTACCTGGCCCCTGAAAATCTTTGTGTTTATGATCTATGCTTGGAGAACTTCTTTCCAAACATAGGTAGGGTAGGCCGGTATTGAGTCTCAATGCAGAACATAAAGACAAACCTCCACTCTGGACCATTAGTCCTCCTATAACCCTGAGGATCAAACGTAGTTAATGAAGTCAGTCCCCTATCTGGTCCTCTGTGAAGTGATAATACTTTAAACTTATATCTGTCTTGAAACAACAACCTGGTTTTGTAAATGCGAGTTATTGCATGGAATTGAGCTCAAGAGTGAAAAAAATTATACTGCAATATCATGGGAAAACCTGATGAGAACTATTTGGAGAATTTTAGATTTAAGTCTAGAGTAACCTGCCAGTGCTGCTCTTTTTTTCATCTCAAATGACCTCATTTAAATATACCTATACAAGCCACTTCCACGGATTTTTTTTTCCTGAAGACAACTGTATAGTCCCAGAAATAATTGTTATCTTTCAAAGTTCTTTTAAACAAAAAACCCGAATTATTGGCTTTTCCTGACAATCTAACTTGCACAGTTCTAAATTAATATCTCTGAGACAGATTTTGAATAATGTAAAAAGGCAAAGCCCACATGAAAATAAAAAAATTAAATAGAATTTAAGCTGTCATATATGAATTTAGTTTACCTTTATTCCTTTAATAATCTTCAAACAAAAACACTTTATTCTACTTCAAAAATATGATTACCTTTGCAATTTCTTTTAAATAGTTTTCTTCTTAAAAAGTTCAAATATTCCATGTTCCACAAAACATATTTCAAAAACAATATTTCAAAATCATGGAATTCTCCATTTCCTTTACACATGCCTATAGTAAAGGAAAAAAACTCCTTTTATTCCTATTGATATAGATTTATTCAAAATTAGTTTTTTATCTATTTGGTAATACTTTTACAAGTTTTTACCAAATCACTTTTTTGGTTGTTATCCATTAGATCTACAGAAGAAGTTGGAGTACTCTCTTACCAGTGTATTTATTAAGTTTGTATGTTAAAACTCCAACAGTAAAAAATTAGAACATTACCTCAGAGTTATAGAGAAAGAATTGAGGCTCTGAGCCTTCATTTGTTGCAGAAACAAAACAAAACAGCCCCTGGATTTCCATGGCAAACCGTAAAGAGAACTTTTGGAAATTATCCTAATACAACTTATTTTTATGAGGCTGAGTGGTTACCTCTTCTAAAGTCTCATCAACAGTCATTGAAATGGATTGTCTGCATTCGGCTTTAACTGGCTGATGGAGATGTATAAGCTGTAAGTGTTCAGGAAGGCTGGTGTCCGCAGACCTCAGCTGCAGGGACTCCTGGATGACATACAACGACTAAAGTCAGAGCTGAGGGCTCTCCTCCCTCAGACTGGGGCAGGTTTTTCTTTGGTAATTGCACTTATTTTGATGACTTGGAAAGAGGAAGTGTTTAATTACATGGTGCACGGATACATCTACTTTAACTGCTCTCAAAAAGTATTAAGCTCATTCTGTGGGATAATAGAGTTGAATTCCAAATGCAGAAAACATTAGGATTATTGTAATCATGCATCTTGTAAATCTGACTATGTCTACTGTTTCCGTAGCTGTCAAGTGTACAGTAAAGACTTTTAAAACTCATTTCAGTCCTATGTCAAAAGGAGTACGTTGTCTCATACTTGTGATATTTAAAAAAATAACAACTTCAAACCCGTCTCAGGAAAATGTCCAAATTGAAAGTAGCTATGACCCAACTGCCAGGGAAAATACAATTATTCATCTCACCCAAATGTTTTCATTTCCAGGAAAACTTTGGGCCACCACTGAGAATCCAAGTTCATACGAAAAATGTTGGTTCTAAAATAACAAACATAGCAAACGAAGTTGGTTCTAAAAGGCTAAGTCCCTAATTTACTTGCCTTTCTGCCTGTGTACCAATTTATTGTGACTTTTGTATACTTTCCTATTTGGGCCCTAAGAATGCAATGGCTATTGCCATCCTAGGGTAGGAGGACCGCATACCCCACCATCAGGCAGGGGGGGAGTTGGCTCTGAAATGAATGCATAGGCTGCCCATTTGCCAGACTGTGTCACTGCACTACAAATGTACTGTCATCTGAAATCTCACGCGGGAAAACATTATGAAAGTCTAAAACCGAGCTATTAATTTCTGGATCTGATGTGTTGATATCACAGTCACTATGTTTTGAAGCTAATTATTTTAAAGGCCTCTACGTTAAGAAAGGTTTTCTGAACTCTAAAGTTAAATATTCCTGAGTGCTCCGATCCATTGCTCCTCAATGATAGTAGGTTAAAGATGAACATTCACGATTAGCCTGAAGTATCTTGGTTGCCCTCAAGCTTCACAGTAATAATACAGAAGCCTTATTACTTTTTAAAATAACCGTTATAATGCATACTCGTGAGGCTCTCGGCATGAATCCAGAGTACTTGTTAGTCAAGGGAGTGATGGTTGGAATCTGGGACATAAGACTGGGGCTAAATTTCTTTACCCTCCTAACCCCAGAGAGTCTTTAGAAAAATAGAAACAAAAGAGCACAAAGTACTTAAGGTAAGACACTGTCGTATTCATAATCTAGAGAAATAACCACCATGCCTCATGGACAGGAGCTACAGTTCTCCGCGGGGCTACAAAACGGTGCTAGTAATAATTTTAATTGGATGCTATCTTTGCTGCCTTCAAAAAGTATCATAAAGTGGAATTATTACAGGCTACAAATGCACTTACAGTGCCGGCCTCTCACCGGAGGAGGCAGATAACATTTATCCTTGGGAGGGTAACATCAGCGGGGTTCTATCTGTTCCCTTCACATGCATCCCCAGTTGCCTGCTATGTGCTTCCCCTGCCTCTGTCTAAGAGATCAATTTGAATTAGACGCTGCAGAACTAAGTTTTGCTGGCCTCTGCCTTGGGGGAGGGCGCGGCCCCACGGAAAGGGCCTGCGTGCCCCTGGGCCGGGCGGAGGGCATACCTGCAGAGGGTTGGGTGGCGTGAGCTGCGACGGAAGGCCATGTCCTGGAGATGGGCTGAGTTTCTGCGGGGGGCTTGCATTCTGCTGAGTTGGAGACGGTTGGTTCTGGTTCTGGTTCTGGGGGTGAGGGTGGGATTGAGGCTGCGGGGGCTGCGATGGCGGAGCTGGCAGCTGCTGGGAGGCGGGTGGCGGCTGCTGGGGCGGGGCCGGCTGGGGCTGGGGCTGCGGCGCTGGGGACGGTGGGGGCGCCTGCGGGTGGCTGCTGGGCGGCGGAGGCGGCGGCGGCTGCAGCTGCTGGAGTTGCTGGAGCTGCTGGAGTTGGGAGTTCAGGGATGAGGTAGCTACAAGGAAAAAACAAACAGACACACACGAGGGGGTGAAACAAACAGGACAGAACATTTTGCTGTGCGTCTCTGGCAGCTTGTCTGGTGTGAGCTGCCCTTTAGAAAAAGTTTACCCTCTCACCCTTGGTACGTGAAAGGGTTGTGGGGCACTGGCAGAGAGAGTCACTGTGCCGGTGTGGCTCAGTGGTGAGCGTGGGCCTATGAATCAAGAGGTCATGGTTCAATTCCCCGTCAGGGCACATGCCTGGGTTGGGGGCTGGATCCCCAGTGGGGGGCTGGCAGGGGCAGCCCATGATGAGTCTCTCTCATCATTGCTGTTTCTATCTCTCTCTCCCTCTTTGAAATCAATAAGAATATATATATTTAAAAAAGAGTCACTTCTTGGGAAAAATGTAAAAATTCAAGGAAGATGAGAATGTGCCACATCAAGTTATTACTTTGAAAGGTAATTGAGCAGTACAAGCCAAGATATCACTAGAAATGGAGGTCATGTTTAAAAGTACTTTCTCTCTTCCTTTCTACACTGCTTGGGCAATACACTTATGCTTTCAAGATTTGACTTAAGGTTCAACCAGTTTAATTCTTTTGGTAAATGCTGGACTGGAGTTAAGAACAGAAAACTAAATAGTTTGTAAGCTTTTCATCACCAATGCCATTAATCGTGTCCTTTTCACTTGCCACTTCAGACCTCTGCCAATTGGATTAGACATGTTAGTTTCGAGTTTCTACAATACACGATTCTCTGTTTTGCAGAGTCAGAATCCTGACCCTGAGGTTTTTGCCTGCTGATCATAGATACAGAGATACTCCTCCCCCCAAAATCTGGGTTATTGTAGGCGATTGTGAACTGTATACTGTGGTAACTAAACACATTAGCACCCCAAGGACACGCAAGAAACTGAGAAAATGAAATCATCTTTCAAGATTTTCTTTCTTTCTCTTTTCTTCAAGATTTTCTTATTATGTGAAAAGTAAGAGTTGGCAGGACAAGCTGTCTTAACACTGAGCACACGAAATTTGTTCTCAGACGTCCATCTAGCACTGAACAATTTCTACAGCAGAAAGACATGCAGTTTGGCCAAAGAATGATCTAGAGAAAATTGTTGCTACAAGTTCATGTCCTTCTTTGCCTGAATTTCAGTCGGAGAACTTTCCAACAAGCCTACAAATAAATATAAGGGTCAATGCTGAATGCATAGGGCTGCAATGTTTTCCTGCTCCTCCCTTACCTAGAATTTGTCAAGATTTCCAGAGGTAATAACTCCTGGTTGCAACACTATAGTCCCTATTTTTAGAAAATGTTCCTTCAAAAAAATCTGGTGATTCTATAGTGACATATACGTGTCTTTATATAACAAGTGTGTTCTCAAGAACATATTTGTGTGTACTTTGACCCATATGTTGAGGACACCGAAAGGACTTTCTCTGTAAGGAAATCAACCAGTGACTCTCTTTGTAAAGTTAAGAATAATTTTGTAAAATTCATTGAATAACAGTCAGGCACTAGTACTGTGCCAGGTAATATGCTGTATTTCAAAACTGCCTTTAAGGAGTTTGTAGTCTATTTGTGGAGATAAGATTAACTCATAAGAAATGATCAGTCTTGAGGTACATGTTACAGAGTCCTGCTAACGATAGATGTTTGATACATATCAATAAGTGGTCAACAGTGTGGAAACTGACCAAAATGGCCAAGAGAAGATATTCCGGGTGGAGAAACATCCAGAATCCAGCATGGCTCAGGTGATATTTCTGAAGGACGATGTGGAGAATAGGCTGCCTGGAACAGAGGCTCTGGGAAGTTTTGAGTGACTTTAGACTTTAGAGAAGGTGAGGAACTTATCTTGTGAAGTGGTGGGAAGATGGAACACTCCCAATTAACCTCTGATGTAAGTCAGATTTCAAATATAGACTCAGGTTTGTTTCAACAAGGCATAGCTGTAGTGATGAAATGTAATGTGGTAGTTCTCGGGGACACCAAATATCAATTCTGTGCTCTCAGCTACCATGTAGGGCTTCCACGTTGGACCAGCTGGGATGTGTTCCAGGTTGGTCCTCACTGGGTCAATGAATTACTCTAGGTCTTCTCAGCGCTCGGTCTGGTGTGTGCCCCTCCTTGTGTGTAAACCCAGAGTGCCCTGAACTCTAGAGGTAGAGGTGGTGCGCATGAGAGAGGGCTGGAAGATGCCCAGTCAGTAGGAACTCTCTGAACTTTATATTCAGTTTTGCTGAGAACCCAAAACTGCTCCAAGGAATGAAGTCTATGTAATAAAAATTCTCAGTCATCATGCCATTTGTTGGAACTTGAAGGGTGTGGTTTGGTTTTGTCCTTCTCTGCCCTCCCCCGGCTCCTATTGTACAAAATCACATCTTATTGAAGATCTGGGAGCCCAGCTCCATCCTTACCTCCCAGGATCTTCTGCATTATGGGGCACAGGGGTGGGGGGAGTGGGGCTGGATGTCTCCTTCGGGTGGACGTACAGACTTTGGGAAATAATTGCATCTGGCCTCCTGCCTGATTCTTTCAGAGGGAGGCACATCTGTCAGTGCTTATTCTCATGGTTGACTTAAATACCATCCTGTTTCATTTTGGTTAGAAAAGCATTTATCTAAAGCAACTTTAGAAACAGCAAAGACTGGGGAATATTGGCAGGTAGATATTGGCCGATGGCTAGGTGCAACAGACCCTAACCTATTTAAGAGACACGGCCCCAAATTTGTCTTCATTCCTTTATGTTGGTGAGTTCACATTGGCTATTTCTTTCCCATGACCTGCAGCTTGCCTGGAAAGGCATGACCTAAACTAAACTTCTGAGTTACATAAACTAATTTGGCATCTGCATGCAAAGTGGACAATAAAATATGTTCAGATACATCCTGGATACAAAGGAAATCGTGAGTGGGTCATACAAGAATGTAATGTAACTCTTGTCTAAAAAATGCCAAATCCACCTACACCTTTGGTCGGCAACCTGCGACTCGCGAGCCACATGCGGCTCTTTGGCCCCTTGAGTGTGGCTCTTCCACAAAATACCACATGCAGGCGCACACGTAAAGTGCGATTGAAACTTCGTGGCCCATGCGCAGAAGTTGGTATTTTGTGGAAGAGCCGGTATTTTGTGGAAGAGCCACACTTAGGGGGCCAAAGAGCCACATGTGGCTCGCGAGCCACGGTTTGCCGAGCCACAGTTTGCCCACCACTGACCTACACTATAGTATGACAATAAAAGCTTAAAAATGCTAAAATATCTAGCCTCTAAGTGGCTAATTGTATAAAGCACACTGAGATACAGACACAAGTTAGGAAGGTTCAAGAACATATTTGAACTTTAGGGAATGTTTGCCAATAAAATGGTAATTCTGGAGGATAAAACTCTGACCCTATTTATGATATATTAAAGAGTTTATTCTCTCCCCTGGTATTTATATCTTTTTGTGATTATTTCCTCCATGTCTGGTTACTAAACTTTACAGGCCAATGTTAAATATAGACATTAACTACAATAACAGTAGCTATGAAAGAAAAAGAGATCCATAGAAATTTACATTAGGCTATTTAAAACTTTTTAAACTTATTGAAAAAGAAATACAGAACAAAACTCAACCACACTCTGAATTTCCTAGAGAGAAGGGAACACTATGGCAAAACCAGTGGCTTGAAATTTCCCAAATAAATAATTAAATATGACAAAGGATTAGCCAAGAATCCTACATTTCTCCATTTGTTCGGTTTCTTTATGTCCATTTTAAATTAGAAACAAATTCTTATTTTGAATTTTTGTTAAAGGTTTCCTCAAGAAACCACACACATAAAGAGAACCACACCAGCAGAGGTATGGAATGATATTGAATGGGATTCACATAAGACTACTTTCAAATCAGAGAAATGGAAAGTAAAAGCAAAACATATACCTACATATAAAGAGTAAGTCCATGAAAGATTCTGAACACATGTAGATATGTCTTTCACTTAGCAGAGTATTTGAAAGATCTTAGGATTCACAGAAAGCAAAATCGTATTCAAATGCTAAAGGAACAACACCCTCACTTTGGTTAACACAAAGTATAACCAAAGTTATTATCAGCACTCTAGTGGGGATCTCAGCTTCAGCATTTCTTGGACTTTTCAGGTTCAGGCATATGTGGGCATGTTTGGATTTGAGTGCCTGCGGGAATGAGTACGAGCTATTATTCATGGCTGATGGACATATCCGGGACTACAGTAGCTTCATAGAAATACATTTACAGCGGGGATAAGTCTCATGCTAAGGAGGAAGGAAGCAGGGGTAGGTAGGGACTTATCATTGAAAGTGACCAGGAGTCCTGAACAGGGCATGGTAGTAATGGCTATTCAAACCCACTTTTAGCCCAGTCAGCAGGTGCAAGCCTGGTCATAGGGAGAGAGGGAACACTGAGTTAAATAAGAGCAACCTTGAAAGTCTGAGGCTAAGTGCATGAATCCAGATGCCAAAGACACATATTAAATAATTCCATTTATATGAAATATGCAGAATAGGTGAGTCCATAGAGACAGAAAACAGACTAGTGGTGACTGGTATGGAGGTTTCCTGCTGGGGTGATGAAAAAGTTCTGGAACTAGATAGTGGTGATGGTTGGACAGCACTGTGAATGGCTTAATGCCACTGAACTGTCTATTTTAAAATGGTGAAAATGACAAATTTTATGCTATGCATATTTTTTAATAATAATAATAATAATAATAATAATGACTGTTTCTATCTAGTCACACACTGGAGACCAAGCCATGTTGCCTTGGGACACCACAAGGGAAGAGAGTAATCTTTCCCTCCACATGGCTGTGTAGTCCAGAGGGTTAAAGGCAGCCGCCAGCAAGGACTACACCTGGTGAAGCGGAGGGAGAGGTGTGGGCAGGGCCACTAGATACTGGATGGCACAGGGAGGAAAATGCTGCGCTTGCTGCAGAGGCATAGGTCTGACAGAGCGGAGCAAGGGGATTACTATCAGAGGGGACCATG